GTCCTTTTTTGCTTGTTGTTTTTTTTTGTGTGGTTAGTAAATATCCATTTATGAACACTGATACCTGAATATCAAAATTTGAATGTACATCCCTAATCGGAATTATTTTTTTCAATGTTGGATAAGGTTGACCTGGCTGAAAGCACCAGCACTGCAACATTTAAACATTACTATCAAAACTATCATTTCATAACATTTCATACAAAGCGCTGCACTAAATCCAGTTAAACAGGAAAATGTCAGTAAACATTTCATGATGAAAGAACAAACACAAACAGCCCAAAAGAACTTGATATACAAACTCATTACATTAATGTTTATTAAAAATGTAGAACATTTTATCCTTTTATACCCTAATATAAACTGACAGTGCCAGACAAAAGGTTTTGTTATGACTGCGACAACAGGCAGAAATGTAAGGGTCCCTGTCTGACCTTTCTTGTTTTATTTTTTCTTCTGAGGTCCTTTTATCATGTTTGTGTGGTTTTGTGTACCAAAAACAGTCATAATTCATTTTTACTACTGCTATTTCGTAACCTCTCTTTATCCCTTAGAATTAAACAGGCTGTTTTTTGTTACTCCGCCTTTAAAACAGAGATATGTTAATGAGCTCTCTTCTGTTTGGCCACCCTGTATGGTGCTTGATTCAAAAAGAAGTCCAGGACAAAATACTACTTATAGCCTCAGTGTGAATGGGCTAAACTACTGTAGGCTGAAAAAGCAGTTATATGTAATTTTGTTTTTGTGACATCAAACAAACTTGGATCTTTAATGTTTACATGCTTTATCAAACTTTTTTCTTCAAAAATATAAGGAAATTTGTTTTTCTATTACTTAGGCCCTTTAATAAAGGCACTTCAACTTACTTTAACCCTTTACAATTTTAGATATAAGCCCAAATTATCTCACAAAACAGGAATTCTTTCACACAGACCTAAGAAACAGGTATGCAACATACAGATAATGCTTTTCATATAAAATCCATTATTAAACCACTATATTTTCAGAAAAAGATATTTCACACTTCACAAGTGTGAACATAAGTAAGGTGGTCACAAGGTCATGCACCAGCATTTATTTAACCCTTGTGTGGTGTTGATGTATTTGTCACTCACTGGTCTGGTGGACCCACCTCATTATTGTTTTTTTACAATACCATAACAATTTATGTAAAAATAGCAGATGTTTAAAATATCACAAGTGACCAGCGTAGGGTTCTCCTTTAGCAGCTGTAGCCAGTCAGCAGCCTGTCCATGTTGTCCACCCTCACACACACAGACACACACCCACTAACAGCAGGCCACGTAGGAGAAGGACAGAGTGAAGGACACAGCACCTCCACACTTTTACTCCCCACGGGTTCACCCAACACCACATGTAATATAAATGTGTGGGGGGTGAACAGAGTGAAGACACTGAAAATGGGTTATTTTATATATTCTTCACAGAAAATGAACAAAGACCAAGGAATCTGAGTTTGAAATAAAAATAAATGACATCATTTTTCCTTTGGTAAACATTGAAAATGGGTCCCACAGATCTGCACACCACACAAGGGTTAAGCCAGTTCGCACGTGATTGCATCTTATCCATGTTTCATTGCACAAGTTTTTCTTGTGCAGAGTGCTGGCGCATTGTAAAGTCTTCTATTGTTGGTCACTTTCCAGAACACAAATGTCTCGAGAGAACTCCTACAAGCATTTCCCGTGTTTATTTGCAGAGAAACATTCATTTTCAACAGAAGACTTTTTTGGTCATACTGTAACGTCGCTGTAAGTTTTTTTTTTATCTCTTAAGTGGAAAGTATTGGATTTTGGCAGCGTTTAGTCATGTGAATAATGACCCTGTCGAAAAAACACAGGTTCAGAGTAAATGCCTGGAAAAAGAGGCTAAAAAAGGCTGAAATGAATTGATATCACATTTGATCTCAGGAGTAGCATTCATCCTCTTGGTGTACACATAAACAGGAAGCTCAAACAAACAAACAATGCCATCTGACGGGTACGATCAAGACCAATGACATTACCTTTCTACAATTTGTGATGACATAACAGGCAGTCAAACCGTAAGTCCAGGAATGTGTTTCCCAAAAGTGTTGTTGAACATCTACCATAATTAAACGATAGAGAGACTATCATCCTGAACACTCTCTCTCCATGGTAGTTGCTCAATGACGCTTTCGGGAAACGCAGTCCAGATTAGCAGCACTGCCCTCAGGAATGTGCAGGGTCTCCACTCGTCTCTCACCGGCCTCACCACTAATGACCCTTACCTCACTCTGAACTCTGAATGTGGTCTCATAAACAAGCAGCCCACTTAGGAAGCCTGCTTTAAAGTCAGTGACATTAGCACCACATTTCCATCCATTTGGTGCTACAGCAGAAATGAGGAAAGTCAGCATTAAGGCCTGTTTTTTCCTTTGCAATGCATTACTAATTCATCAGCTAAAAACACGGCCTGTCACTTCCTGATGAAGATCACAGAGAACTTCCATTCATATTACACTACTACTTGTATAAAGATCATTTATATATAAGAAAAAGACATTTAAATTTATGAAAACAACTGTCCTGAGGCATCGAGCATTCTCTTTATCCCTAGAATTAAACAGGCTGTTTTGTTACTCTGCCTTTAAGACAGAGATATGTAAATAAGCTTTCTCCTGAATGGCCACCCTGTACTGCGCTTCACTCAAAAAGCAGTCCAGGCCAAAATAATACTTATAGTCTCAGTGTGAATAGGCTAAACTGCTGTACTTACATTCGTATTTCACTACTACTCGTATAACAATCATTTATACATAAGAAAAAGTCATTTAATTTTATGAAGACAAACTGTCCTGAGGCGTAAAGCATGCACTTATTAAAGTTTCACCTTCCGTTTGCTTAATTTTGTAACAGCCAGGCCTATTTCAATTGACTTTTTCTTTCTATGCCCTGAATAAATTCAGGTTATTTCATTATATCATTGATTTTAATACACTTTTGGCTGCAGTTATTGAGTTAAAGTGAAGTTAATCATGGAAAACCCCATTTTTTTGCTTCAATTTTTTTAAATGAAAAAGTTTGACGTAGTTTGTGAACACTGCTAAAGTTTCAAACGTACCGTTCACTCCCCAGTCCATGCAGTCCATATATGGAAGCTGTAAAAACAACCCATTTTGAATTCTTTGTTTCTGTGATGCCTTTTTTAGCCTACAGCATATTAGCCACACCCATTCACACAGAGGTTATAAGCAGTGTTTCAGCCTGTGCTGCCTTTTGAATGAGGCACAATACATGACAGCCAGTCAGAACAGAGCTCATTTACATATATCAGTCATAAAGGCACAGTAACAACATGGCCTGTTTCATTCTAAGGGATAAAGAGAGGTAAGAAAGTGGTCATGGGAATATTAGTTATGGCTGTTTTGGTACATAAAACCACACAAATGTTATATGTGGCTTCAAGAAAAACAGTATAACAAGAAAAAAGTAGGACACTTCTTGTTCTTAAAGTGTATTTTTTTTAACTTCTGCATAATTAAATGATTAAGATGTAAACAGACAGTGGTTGGATGCGAAATTCTCTGTTCTAGAGAAACTTAGAGTTAGAAGTGTTCACAGTGCTGGTGAGAGGAACCAGGCATCCGAAGAGTTTAATGCCTCTAAAAGCTACAGTCATATGTTGCATGAACACCCCTGGTCAAATGACATGTTTTGATGATTTTCTAGGCAAAAATGCAGTAAGTTTACACATTCTCTACAAGGGGGAAACACTTAAATACAACACTGTTCTGCAAATTTTAGAGTTATATAAAATGTGTTTTTGCAGAGGCCTAATTTTATGTTTTATTTCTTTCCCAATATGTTAAATTCAGCAAATAAAGAGTTATTGTGCATTAAAATGTGCAGAAGTGTGTTCTTTGTGCACGATGCGTTAACAAGTCATTTGAGTGCCCCAACTTTTGTACTGTACATCACAGAAAGTTATAACATGCAATCCTTATGAATATACTTCATGTTGCCTATTTTACGATTGTTTTGAGATAAGATTTTGGCTTAAAATGTACTTTTTAAAAGCCATTCATGGCAGAGAGGTACACGGAGGGCGCAATGCAAAACAATCCCCAAACAAAACTTAGTTTGTCCAGAATTATTACTATTTTACCACCACCAACATGACATATAAAAGCTCAGAAGACACGTGAAGGTTCACTGGGGGTTTGGATAGTAAACACAATGTCTATATTTGTGTTGTAGACGTCGTGACCCCTGGTTCCTATTACCACTGTAAAGAAATCTGAGTCTATAAGTTGCTCTGCATGAACCATTTCACCTCAAACCACTCTGAATGACCATGTTTACATCTCAACAAATAAATTTCCCAAATATCAGTGGGATTCCCCTTTAAGACAGAAAGCTCAGACTGATGAAGGGAAGAAGACGCATTCATATCCGTCCTAATAACATCCTGCTGAGTGCAGCAGACTGTACACTCGCACTCATTCAAATATATGATAAGAAAAAGTTGAAAAAGCCTAAAACTGGCAAGCATTGACTGAGGTCTGATAATCAGAACAGACTTAAAACTTTTTTTAAACAGGATAAAGACACTATTAGTTAAATATTTAGATAAGATATGACAGAAAAAGCACTTGCATATAAAATAGCAGATAAAATCAAATGTGCAGTATATACACTATATGCAGAATACGATTTTTTTTTTAATATAGGAGATCCTATGTTTCCCCCTGACAACTTCTCAGCAGCTGGATCTTAGAACTATTTGTCTGCTTAGTTCTCCACAGTGCAGCAGCCTCTAGTGCAGTATGAATAGAGAGATCATATTTTACCTCCTAAATGTTCATATATACTGAGTTACTGCAGCTACGACTCGGTATGAAGCCTAACTCTCTATGTATTCACGTTCAAATGTAGCTTATGAAGTCTGAGCTCCAGTTTAGCTGAGGTGGTTCTATCTCCAGGTTTAAAATATTAGGAAAAACTGTCTTTTCTTACCATTTGAAGGCGTCTGCATCGCTCAGTAGTGGAACTACAGCAGTCCCAGTTCTCTGTTATCTCTCAGACTTACTTCATGCTTCTGGACTAAATGCTTCCCTTTACGTTTACTGAATCTGAACATGGTGGGCTGCCCGTACTCCGCCAGGCCACGCCCTACTGTGCTGGGATTGGCTAGAAGCTCATCTGCTCAAAGAGCCCGGCACTTGCCGGAATACAGGTAGGTTAAAAACAAACGGCTGTTTTCCCCGAAGGGAAATGACGAGGCTAAGTGGACGAGGGCTTGTTAAAACTATTGTATTGTATTGAAACGGAGGGGGCTGACTTTTCAGTATATGTTATTGTGGACTCGCTTGACAGCAGCTTGCTCCTTCTATGTCAATATCAGTATTCAAGAACGCAACCCACCAGCACAAACACCTCAAAAGTCTCATAATTAGTTGCAACCACAACGTGATGGCAAGGACTGAATCTTGCTCTGCTACAAAAACCAGCATGGACCAGCACGGCTAATCACTAGCAAACTCAACATATGTTGTGTTTTGGATGTTGGTATGCTGGGTGATCAGATAAACCAGCATTAAACCAGCATTAAACCATAAAACTGCTGTTTTTTCTGCAACGTTGGTTCAAGTTAAGTTTATTCTGACAAGCTATTTTTTTGTCTAGAGCAATTGTGGAAGCCACTACTTTCATAGTGCTATCGTTGGCTTACGGAACTGTAATTCCCTTTCAAGGGTTAATTTTTATTGCAAACATGATGCAAATCTTCATGCATAATTGGAGTTTTCTGGGGGAGCCATGCTAACTTGTGTTAAACGTATGGCCAAACGATAGGCCTGTTGTCTGTCTAACAGTGTCGATGAGCTCACCATCGCCCCCTACTTTGAGCCACACCTTTGCAAAGCGTTGGATTTGTTTTGAAATTTCACACCCAGTTTTTCCACCATAATAAGTTTACATCCCCCCACGTTCAGCCCAACATTTCTCATGATTACCGCCAGATGTTCATGTTAATAGATCATGTCCAACCCCATTATTAAGGAATGTAATGGAAACAAAACATCGACATGCTGTGTTTGCACATACAGAATAACCGTCAGACAACGATTTGAAGATCATTTCATCTGTGCAAATGTTAACAAGGCATCTGCTGGTATTTTTACTTAGGAAGTTGTCAAGTGCATAAGAAAATTTGGCTTAGCATGAACAGCTGTGAATAAGGGAAATATTTGGACGCTGTTGTGTGTGATTTTCTATTACATTTACATTTACAGCATTTAGCAGACGCTCTTATCCAGAGCGACTTACAAAAAGTGCTTTGTCTATCCAGAGAAAGTATCTTTGCTAGTTACCAATAGGTTAGAGAGAAAGTCAGTCCTGAGCTCAGATATTGCTAGAATCAGAAAGTCATTATTGACATCTAGACAAAAAGGAACGGAGTTAAATCCAGAGCAGTGCAATACAATACAATACATAAGTGCAGTACAATACCTTACAATCAATACTGAATTCAGTGCTCATTTAAGTGCTGTATAAAGAGATGAGTCTTCAGTCTGCGTTTGAAGACAGCGAGAGACTCTGCTGTACGGACAGCCAGTTGGAGTTCGTTCCACCACCTGGGTGCTGGACAGAGAATAAAATGTACATTTTATTTCTATTCTATTCTATTAAAATTATTAATTTATTTATTACAAAATGTGCTAAAATGTCACATTAATCTCTCACTAGCTAACTTTGATTAGCTATTGGCTTAATATAGCTATATTTTGCACTGCCCCTAGTGGCTTGGAGCACTTCTGCGCAAATCTGGCATTTTGTTTTAGTTAGCGCTGTTGTGTTATGACAATGTTAATGTGCTTTTGTTTACTTCACAATTGCTGTTGTCTTCATCCTGTGGGCCACCAGGTTTTCTCCCATGCTCTTCTTTCATTAGTCTGACCATCCTGGAACAATGTGGGCTGGAATAGTGTTGGACAACTGCCAAAAGCATTCAATACAAAACCCATTTCTGTTAATATTAACTGAAATCTGAGAATATCAAAACAAGATCATTTGTTTGTGCTGTGGAGGTATTTGTGGCTGTTGGCCACTCTGCATGCTGTTCTTTAATTTTGAATGAGAACTTATTGGTTCTGAGAAATTCTGCCATCAATACTTCTAAATAATGCATAAGAGTGGCCTATACCGAAAACCATTTCAGAAACTAATGTTTGTGGTAATGCACTCATAACAAGCTTATGGAGATCATAATTATCTGAAACCTGAAGACAGCTGGGAGCCACGATGTGAATAAGGCAAGTTCATTTATATAGCACATTTCATACATAAATGCTTGACATAAATAAAAGCAAAAGGAACATCAAAAGGAAAAATGTTGACAAATTACTCGAGTGAAAAAATAAAAGGTAGAAGTCTTACAAAAACATAATTACAATAAAGTACAATGTACATAAAGTAGAATAAAAACATAAAAGGGAATTAAAACAATGAACATACACCAATCAGGCATAATAATATGACCACCTCTTTGTTTCTACACTCATTGTCCATTTTATCAGCTCCACTTACTATATAGGTGCACTTTGTAGTCCATTAGTCCATCAGTGCTGAGAATGATCCATCACCCAAATAGGACCTGCTCTGTGAGGGTCCATGGGGGTCCTGACCCCTAAAGAACAGGGTAAAAGGGGGCTAACAAAGTATGCAGAGAAACAGATGGACTACAGTCTGTAATTGTAGAACTACAAAGTGCACCTCTATAGTAAGTGGAGCTGATAAAATGGACAATGAGTGTAGAAACGAGTCATAATGTTATGCCTGATTGGTGTATATTGTCAGTGCTGATGTGTTGAGGACTGAGTGGTCCTTAGTGATAAGCTGAAGAGCATGTATGTCCATGTTCATCCTTAAAATGGATCAACCTGTGGAATCAGAGCTTGTTCCAAACAGTTAACCAGTGAAAAATTAAGTATTATAAAATTTAGCTAATAAAGGGTAAAGTGCAGTAAGAATAGAGTGCAGGTTTTAGAGCTTAATCACAGTTACATGAAAAGAGAAATGTTTTTAACCTGGATTTTGAAAACCGCTACATTTGGGGCACATTTAACATCTGGCAGTTTGTTCCAGTTGTACACAGCATAACAGCCAAACTGCTTCACCATATTTGGTGTGGCCTCTGGGCTCTACTAGCTGACCTGAGTCCATGGACCTAAGAGACAACTCAGTTTATATTCTTTAAATATATCAGAAATGGGCCTAAACCATTTTGTAACTTATAGACTAGTACGGATTTATAAGGACAGTGAAGTTCAGTCTAGTCTGGTCAGTCATATCATAAGACCCACCCACTCTCCCACACGAACGTAGCCCCAGACATTTTTTTATTAGCTCTGGATCTTTTTCTAAGATTAAAATAAAGTTCATACATAATATGTATAATAAAAGAGTCGACTCCAAAGATCTAGACTCTCAGTCATTGACCAAGAGTCAGCGATGATTCGCAAACGTGTTAGAGTCGAAGAATCGACTCTTTTGGGGCAGAGTGATATACTGAAAAAATCATAACTGTAGTCAGAATTCTCTCAAAAGGAACCATTTTCATTTTTTTTCAATTCTTTGAAAAAAAAGAAGCCGAATGTTATCTTATTTCTCTGTTCACAAGGCTGAAGTTGGCTTCGTATCTGCCATCTTCTTATTCAGCTTTTCCGTTCCACCTTAAATGATGCAGCAGTTACCAAAACCTGTTATGAGTTATGAGTTATGAGGAGTCTGTCCACTTCTTATTTCCCCCGTTATATCAAAAACAGGACTGCAAAACAGCAGAGGGCGCCTGCGAGTGAGTAGTCATTGAATGGGGTGAATGGAGCTAAACGGCTAAAACGAAAAGTTAAAATATTTTCTAATCACTCGCCCAGAACTTTCCTTTCATTTTAGAAAGTAGAAGGATGTATTTCTTTAAAAAAACAAAGAGTCGACTCCTAGCATTTCGACTCTCAGTGTCATTGGCCAAGAGTCATTCTCGAATCGGCTCTTTTGGAATCGACGCATCCTCACTAGCTGGAAGACAGAACACAGAGGACAAAACTGAAAACTATATCTATATATATTTTAAAAAAGTAGACAAAACGAAAAGCATGTCGACTCTCAGAGTTATTGGCCAAGTGTCATCCTCGACTCGAAGAATCGGCTCTTTGGAATCGACTCGCCATCCCTAGCTGGGAGACATTGGAGCTGCGGAGTCGGATTTACAGCGGTTTGTGAACAGTAACGTTAGTAGAGCGGCCTGCTGTGGTAAAAGTTAGGAAAGAAATGAGAAAAGTGAGAGAAATTCTCCTCTTATTCGTTTTACATTGTAGTGTTTTTAACAACGTGACCGACATTAATTGAATTTTAGTCCATTTCAGTCTGTCCTGTAACCTCAGCGAACGGTAGCTTGTTAAATAGGTAGTTAGCTTAGCTAGTTAGCCAGCAGCGCTAACGTCAGGCTAATTTGTTTGGGTTAATGTCGTGCTAACTAGCTAAGTAAAAGCTCATTAACACGACATTAACACGGAACTTCTACACACCAACGTTAATACTGTTGGTTCTTCAAGAGTTCTTTAGCTAGTAAAGTGAATAGTTCTGTTATGAACCATGAGTTATATACAACGTTAGAGCCATTTCATGCTTAAATGGTTCTTTGCATGGTGAAATTGTTCTTCAGATTGATGGAGAATGTGTTGTACACGCTTCTAAATAGAACCGTTTTGAAAATGGTTCTAAATAGCACCAAAAAAGGGTTCTTATATTGCTCCGAGCTTGGCATTATAAATGTCAAGGTGCTGTGTAGCTAGAACCATCTTCAAAAATATAGCTACGACACATTCTCTATCAATCTTAAGAACCATTTCACCATGCAAAGAACCATATAAGCACAAAAATAGTTCTACATAGAACTCATGGTTCTAAATTGAATCATTCCCTTCACTAAAGAACTCTTGAAGAACCACCTTTTTTAAGGGTGTAGTTATGTTAGCTGACTTATTTGTAGGAGATGAAGCTTATTTACATGCTTATTCAGATTTTCCAGTCCACCTTAAGTGGTGCACCAGAATGCAGGC